TATATTGTATCAGGTATTATCTCTTTTATTATGTTACATGTTACCCGGAGCGCGGGACTTTGTCCATTTGGTTATCGGTATTAGTTGTCGGCTCTGTTCATTGCACTGAGCTATACTCCTTTCTCATATCTTGCTTTATTAGCAGCGGAATCGAACGTAATGGCCAGCCATGGGAGATACCGTAATGAAATGATGCCACGCGATTGATGTGACGCATCTGGGCCGGACCATGCCACTAATTTATGTTCTATTTATTCCCTAATTTATTGGTGACGTCTATAATATATTACGCATAGGTATACGAGTATACTGGTGACGTTTGACATTTCGAATCAGTGTGGACAGGAAGATGAATAGATAGTGCGTTCACTTCGGCGTCCACTGCTGAAAGTTAGCTATAGTAAACAAAGTACTCGCGCTAATTTTGGATTATGTTTTTTTCCTAAATATAATCAATATTTTTACTGTCCTTTGCCATCGTATCATCATTCCTTATATGGCTTATCTCATGTTTTTCATCCAACCATCTTCTCTCGTTTCCGTTTTCATTCTTTTTCTGTATCCGTGCACTCGTCTCCCTTTCTGCAATATAGTGCGCACACCAGACTTGTAAACGACTCAAATTTTTTTTTAGTCGATTCTTTGTTTGAGTCTGGAAATTTGAATCGATTCATCAAACGACTCATGATGTTAAATTTAATTGATTTGAATCAACTCATGACTCATCAAGTTCCTCGATAAAATGATTCGAATCAACTCATGACTCGAGCAACTAGCCAACGGAATGATTCGAATCAACTCATGACTCACACATTTTGATGAATCGATTCAAATCAACTCATGACTCACACGACATTTTTATTGAACTTATTTCATTCAACCCATGACTCACTATAGGCATTTGTTGATTATTTGACTCAAAGCTATGATAAAATGAATATGCCGCATACCACAATTGTATTAAGCAGCATAGTAGCCTTGACCAAAGATTCAAGCAGCTACCTAGTAGGACTAGGTACATAGGTACCTACCTTACACCTACCTATCTTCAACACTCAACAGTCAACAGTGCAATGTCAGATAAATTTGTAAGTAACTCTGAGAGACAATTATAATATAAGTAAGGACTAAGGAGTAGCATAGTAACCTATCTCTTATTATTACCTAGAAAGTCTTATTTGAAAATTCAAAATCACAAGTTCCGAGAGGCATTCATGTTTTTTTTTAATCAAACTTTTTCTACATGGTAATGAGACAAATGTTACTACTTCTTACTTATCAGATAAAATTATTCAAACAGTACAACCTCAAAAATAGGATTAATCCCACCTGTGAAACATTCAGCATCAGCAGGGACTCCATGGGCCACGAGGAGGCCATGACCTTGCATGAGTGGCTCAGGCCTCAGAATCAGATATGATCTTGAGTTGAGACTCATTGAAAGTAGCTAATGTAGGTATACAATATACATTCTCCAAATGGCACCTAGTTTAGCAGTGCCAACTGGCTGCCAGCTAGATAGAGCCCATCCGTCACTTACCATTTATGTTGGCTCAACGTGGAGATTAAAATGAAGGAATATAAAAAATATTGTTAGTCTACAATTTTAGATTAAAAATGACGTCATTGAATATTAACCCGCGCCCCGTAGGGCTACCGGCGGACCCTACCACCCGTAGGGGGGGGGCCGTTTCGGCCCCCCCCTAAGATCTCGGAAAGTTACCGGCCGATTTTCAAAATTCAAACGGCGTTTGATAGCCCTAACCGGGAACTACCTTGTGACCGAATTTCATTGACCTAGGTCAAACCGATGACGTCACAGGTCAGGTCAAAGGTCAGATTTTCACCGTTCACAGGCAATTCAAGAAATGTGCTGTGAAATCGAGTAAATTGGTAATTTATTGAAAACCATCGATGGTATATTGTTCGTCAAACACATACTTTGCTATCTTAGGTCACTGATACCAGGTCAGGTCACAGCGAGGTCAGGTCACCGGGGGTCACAATATGAATGTGTCGTGTGATACATGTTTTATGGTCCATTTTACATGACAAATGCGATTATGTGGGTTAGGCAGCCTTTGGGGCCAGCCTAGGTCACGTTTTGGTGAAGGTCAGGTCAAGGTCAGGTCAAATTAGGTCAAATTTCAAAGTTGATATTTTTGCATAAAATGGGTATCCATTCGATGCAGCTCGTCACGGGGAGTCTAATGGTGGTCTTTGTTTTGCTCTACGAGTTCTAGAATTGCCAAAAATTGAGTTTTAAAATTTGACGTCATCATTTTTGAACAGTTTTTTCACTATAACTTGGCCAAAAAACGAGGTATCGATCTGAAATTTGGTATGTAGATAGAAGACGGTAGGTACTATCACATATATTCCGGTTTTTTCGAAACTCAAAAAACTTTTTGGATTTTTTGGCTAATATATCCAGAAAAATGCTTTTTTGATTTTTGGGGATCAAAACTCAAAAATTTCTAAAATCCGAGATAGCAGTTTTGTAGCCCTGTCAATTCTACACCTTTTATGTCTTGATCATTTTTCTGTATCTTCAAAGCTGTAGGCCTGACAGGTCTTCTCGCGAAGGTCTTTTTTCGGTCGAAAATGACAGAACATGACGTCACTCTGACGTCATTTGTGGCCAACCTATCACAGCCTCTGGAAAAATTTTTGGTCACAATGTGTAAAATTGATGCCCGGAGGGGTCCTGAAAGTTTGGTGGCGATATCTCCAGCCGTTTAGGAGATATCGACGGAAAAGGACAGGGGGGGCCGTTTCGGCCCCCCCCCTACGGGGCGCGGGTTAATCGATATCAGGAGCACCGGAGCACTGACCAAGTGGCTCTTTTGGTAAAAATAAATTGTCATTGGTGCAATTCGGGCAACGTCATCCGGCCAATTTGTCAAGTATAAAGAATTAGGATCCCATGCTTGCTTTATCGCGCACGCGCCATGATTTGTCACCAAGGCGCCTTTGGGCTTTGGGTCTTAGGAGAATGCACTACTAAAATATAAGTGGCGAAAGGATGTTGAGATCACGCAGTGCAAGTGTTCGTGGTAATCGTAATTTACTGTTTTTCTTTCTTCCTATGCATCAAATGAAAAATATTTTCAATTTTTTTATTTGTCATCGCATATTTCTATTTTTCAACAAAATTACTCGTTGACTTCATATTTATCGAGATTCAGACGTGAAAGTTATCAACTGCGCCATTAATGTAGTTTTCTTAAAACATACTATGACTTTCACATTCTATCCTCGAATTCATGACGTCACTCATAGTACATATTTTAGGCGAATGGAGATCGCTGAGGAAATATTTCAAAGCCGCTCCTTTACATTATTCTGAAGATTCTATGATGTCATAAAACAAGTTTCTTTTTAAACTTCTATTTCATGGAAAAATGTGCATTTTGTGGTTTATTGGCAGTTGAGCATCGCAATTTTGCGGTTTATAGGTGAGTTTATTTATATTATAGCATAGCCTATAGGTAGTTTATAGGCTTTAGGTAGTTTGGGCGTATTTGACTCTATAGACGCCCAAACTCTTATGCTGTTGATTGATTATTGGGACCAAATTGGGACTGGGAGAAGGGGAGGCAGCCGCAGGTGTCAATTCTGACTTCTGACATGTAAAATGTAGGTACCTAGGTAGTGTAGCAGGCACTTGGTTTGGTAAGACTAAGTACCTACCAACTGCCAAATGCTTTTGGCTCATTAGGCGCCTGTGCCTGAGCCTCTGAGGCTCTTGTAAGTCTGAAATATGGAGTTAAGTGATGGCTAAAGCTGAGGGGGTGATCTAGCATTGATTATTAGGGTGTTGATGGTGACTTGTAAACGACTCAAATTTTTTTTGAGTCGATTCTTTGTTTGAGTCTGAAAATTTGAATCGATTCATCAAATGACTCATGATGTTAAATTTAATTGATTCGAATCAACTCATGACTCATCAAGTTCCTCGATGAAGTGATTTGAATCAACTCATGACTCATCGAAAAACGGTTTGATTCTGAGTCGATTCACGAATCAACTCAGAGTCGTTTACAAGTCTGGCGCACACCTAGCCCATGGAATAAGAAGCAGAGCTATGCGAACCACGGATTACCCCACGCATTGACCAATAGTTACTGGGTAGAGTCCCCTCCTGGGGCCATCGGGACTCGGGAGACCTCGTCACCAGTGAAAGTTGGCCAGCGGTGTCACTGTTAGGTGCCAGGTGCCTCTATCGGTCTAGAGAGTGCGGACGAGTGTTTGCTAGGACAACCAGACAACAGACCGGTCGTCCCGCTGCCATGGCTGAACTGGGGGCAGTAATGGGTGAAAGTGTCGCCAAGGCCGGAGATGCAAATGCTCCCCTTTGTGATGGGTGATGGTAAAACAAACATGACTGTGTTCTTATTTTCGAGCTGCTATCTGTGTTGACGATCTCGCATTCCGTGGCTTCACATATAACACATACCGAGTTTGCATTTATGGTAATTGGGCACTGAGTGTTCGAATCGTAGCGTCACTGTTTGTGCGTATTTTGCTGGTTCCTGACAATCGCAAAACTCATCCACGTATTTTGTTTGTTTCGTTTACTGTTTAGCTGTTCTTTGACTTTCGAAGTTGAAAATTGTTGCCTACTCGTATCTTATTCACGATATTTCATCTTTTATTCAAAACAGAATGGCAATGTATAGCTGCTGACTGTTATGTCCCACTCAAAAGATATATTTGCGGATATCTTGCGTATTGTTCAGAAGTCCCTCCCTCTCCCCACATTCCGTTTTCGCGTTCCGTGCCTCCCGGACCCGCCTGCGTCGAGCGCGTGCGCCGCCCCGTGCCGGCGCCCCTGCCTTGTTCGGGAGCTGCGCGCGCCCTGGCCGGGCCCGGTCAATAAGCCGTTATCAGCCGGCCCGGCCCGGCCCGGTGCGTCGCAGGCGGGCCGCCGGGCCGGGCCGCCGGCCCGCCGGCCGACCTGTCGCTCCTCCTGCTGACCCGGTCACCGCCTGTTGCAGCTACGCTAAGCAGATCCGGACGTCATATATGGCGCCATACCGAGTGCGGACAGTCACCTGGTGCCTCAAGATCCCGCCGTTCTGCACCAAATACAAGACGGCCTACACGCTCAAATACAAAACAGAGGTGAGTGGCGCAGAGTGCAGCGCAGCTGACCCGCGCACTGACCTGTTGCTGTTGGATTTGTGGTGGGGCTGTTTTGGCAGAAGCCCTGTTCTTTTTGTGGAGGAGGGGGTTAATTGCTAAATGGCGCTCTCTATATGAGTGTGATATTGCCCATATGGCGCGAGCGATGAAGGCAGATCAGAGGCAGCTGCGTGTGAAAATATGTTTCCTGGCTATAACAATGATATTTATGACCTCACTAGAAATTTAAATTAGGCATGTGTTTACCTATACTGTTTTTGGCCAAAATAGGTATCAGATATTAGATATACCATGTTGCAACGCATGACTGGAAGTTGAGTATTTTTGCGCCAGTTGGTGGCTTTTAATGGGTGCCAGTTTTTTTTGGATATTGGCAAACATATGTACGCTGATAATCAAACGTAACATGTATAAATGAGGCAGGAATGTCATGAATGAGTAGGTAATGCTAGGATGCACGCACGAACTAAGTCTATTTGATGGTTGAAATGACTGATGTCTCAGGCTACGGTGTTATTTGCATCGGAAAACATCGCGCTTTTTTGCGAACTTAAATGGGACTGTTCTAGTTTTAATTCCAAGTAGACTGACTATAGGTAACAGTTTGATAAGTTTCCATAGTATATTGTTAGGTAGGTATTTGAACAACATAATAACTATTGGCATACTCGTATTCTCGCGCGGAAATGAGCGAAATCTTCAATACGAGTACATCCAGCTGGAATCACTTTTTAAGTACTGGCGTATCGGCTTACGGTTGCCCTCTGTTCCTATGCGGGCATTGTGCTGTAAATAACAGGAAATGGCGCTCAATGAGCCGCTGATGACACTTCTTTGACACTGATCTCCTCTGTGTGCTCATTGATGCGCGCCTCGTTACCTGCCCTCACCACTATGAGGGAGACAACGAAACGTAGGCCCAGTGGTGGCTGTCGGATGTTACGGCCTACCACCCCTGTAGCTTGTTCTCCAGTGTTGCGGCTAACGAGCCGCCGCCGCCGCCGTCTCCTCTCCGCGGTGTGAGCCCAATTGGCTCGTCAGAGATGTGGCCTCCCCCGGCGGAGGGAGGGAGGAGGAGGGTGCTGCTGCTGATTACTGCCGGAGGGATCAGGTTCGTCCGAGCCGCGGGGCGCTCATTGGATCGGGAGGGGGAGGGAGATGTCGATGGGCATTACTCGCTGGGGTGCCCGCTGGGGTAGCTGGTCGGATGCTGCTCCTTTGAATGCCTGTCAGTCGCTACCCATTCTTGGAATTCTTGGACAATATCTGGATTAATCGCACGTATCGTCGTGATGTCACTGTTGTCATCATTATGCACGTCTGCTTTGTTTTCGAAGCAGGCCGTCATGTGTCATCGGTTTCGCGAGTTGGCCGTCAGCCTGTGCCCCGGGCTGTGGTCCATTGGGGCAGCGGCCGCCGAGGGCGGCGTCGGTTGTTGGCCAGTTCCAGTTCGTTGTGGTGGTTGACGCTGGAAGGCTGCCAGTGCTCCCACGGCCGAGCCCGTGCCCGTGCGGTCTGATTATGACCCCAGCCTGCGGTCTGATCATGCTACGGTCGGCTGCATCATACAGTACGGCGCAGTTTGGCAGGTTGCAAACGTTCCATCATCGTTCTTGGAGCTGAATTTACCAAAACATTTGTTCTAATAAGCACAGTGCTCATTGTAGATGAAACATCTGACATAATGAAAATTTATTTTTTCAGTCCGTTTCAAATGTGTTCTTAATGAATAACTATCATTGCATGTCGTCTGACCTTACCTCTCGTCTTATAAGCACATGCATGCTACAAAGATTTGTGCTATCTGAAAATGTGTCATTTATAGTTTACTTAGGATATATTTTCCCGATTTTTTTGTCTTCCAAAAAAGTACAATTGTGAGACTCGTGACAAGCTTTTCACGACAAGCTAGATTTAAATCAGTCGCACAAATCATATAACTGGTTGTCCCTTTCTGAAGCCCTCGTCTGCAGAGCAATAACCCGAAGCCGGGGCCCGTCCGTTACCTGTGAAGGTAGGGTTTCCCGCGAGGGAGACGGCCGAGGACGGGAGGACAGGTGCCCGCCGCCGTCGCTCGGGTGGCTCGGGTGACCTTCGTTCACGCGCGCCGCGCTCCTGATCGGATCAGGCCGGCTCCACCGCACACCGCACACCGCCCGCGCTCCCAGTCCGCCCGCGGCCCGCTCAGCTGTGCGCCCGGCGTGGTTCCGCACGCGCCCCCGCCTGGATGCGCCCGCTGCGTCCAGACCTACCGTTTGTTGATACGGTCTGTGCGGCCAGGCTTGAAGCGTGCACTGTGAGGAGTGAAGAGCTGTAAAGATGGCGCCGCCCTTCGGCACGCGTCCACGAAAAACAGCGCCGCTCGACGGCGTCGGGACAGTGGACGAGAAAGCCGGAACTGGCGGCGACCCGACGGCAGGGTGACGTGGCAGCCGTCGGCCGACACGCCGAAGAACGGGGAAAGGGTGGAGAGCTTTCACAGGGCGCTTCTCGGGAAGGTGGTTCAAGAACTGTGCTGTTTCCGAGTTAGTCTGATGCGATTCAGAATGAGGCGTAGGTCCGCTCCAAGAATCCGAGTTTCATGCGCGGGCGTGCTTTTCCAGATGTTTTGATTGCTGTATCGGCTCCAATTTAGTCGAAACGCTATCGACTAGAAGGATTGAAGAGGACCTCTAGCCGTAGGAAGGTACATTGGGACCTTCCCTCATGACCTCAGGGTACCCAAAGCACAGAAGCATTTACTCTGGCTCGATTCAGCGCAGCGCTTCTGGTTTAAAGGTAGTGTGCCAGCTTTCCTGGACCGTATGGAGTTAATGGCCCAGATAAGGAGAACCGGATTTTTAGAACTTATCCATACCTTCAAAACTCATGGAAACGTCTTAAATTCTTCAAATTTTGAGTACCCCAGTGCGAAATTCGCCCCGACGGGTTGTCGGTCGTACCCCAACCACATTTCACACCACTATGAACAATAAATGCACACACTGAAATCGCTATTACCGATATGCTCATCCAATCAAGTTTCGATAAACCCGTTCATCATCATCTCCTGCGATTTCGAACACGCCTGTTAGGTGGTGCGGTAGACCGCGCCCAAAGCCAGGGCCCCGGTAACGTGAGGTAGCCGAGTCGGGGCAGCGTGCGCTGACCCAAGCCGGGGCCGCGCGTCCTCCCGGTGTCATGTGATAGCCCGGGGCTGCCCGCGGGGATGCGGTAGACCGCGCCCAAAGCTGCGGCCCCGGCTTGGGTCAGCGCACGCTGCCCCGACTCGGCTACCTCACGTTTCCGGGGCCCTGGCTTTGGGCGTGGCTTCTGCTCATACTTTGTGGTGCGGTGGTGGTGCGTCGGGCCGCGCGCTCTGACTTCGGCCAAGAAAAATGCGTCAGCTGATCATTGTCATTTCTGCCACTTGCGTGTGGTGAAATTGGGTCATAACTTAAGAGACGGCTTTTTCATATCAATCATTTTACATAAAATCATATTTCAAACCTTAAATAATGTTCGACAGCCAAATAAAAGAAACAATACCAATACAGGCTTACAGTTTAAGGCTCGACATTGTGTTGTCTACGATTAGACAGCTGATAACTCATTCCCGTACGTCGTAACTCTATAATGACCTTTGCTTATTGTCACATGTGCGCCGCATTCGCGATTGTTGCCGACGCCTGTTTGCAGGTCAGCCCACTACAGTTGTTATACACATCGAAAAACCGATAAACTTTTAGGCGAAAAAGGCACTATTCCAGGCCCATTTTTGATTTTCTTTGCGATATTAGGCAAAAACAGAAGCTTCTTATCCTAGGAAAAATAAAATGGGAAATCTTTCAAAGGTGGCACACTACCTTTAAACCAATTGTCAGCTGGCCCATACAGCGTTTACTCGCCCGTCAGCACGATTCAGAGGTCAGACCGCACCTCTGGCCACGGAATGCTGTCTCATGGTGTTTTGTTTGTTCAGCGGTGTCGGATGAGCTCGATTTCTCTGTTATCGCCGGTGTTGACTGGTGAAGCTCACTCGTGCTGAGCTGCACCAGCTCAGACACTGGCGCGGTTGGTAACTACATACAACCAACGTATTGGACAGTGATACTGGTTTTCTAGGGTGGGTCAGCTACTGGTTATCGTTATCATGCTGGCGTGAATCAGTGAGCCGATACGTGGAAAATTCCCGCTCCCTTTTACGTAGATTCCTTGGTTGCTCCTTCCGAGACCACACAGTGGCGTTTCCCGGTAAACGTTTCGGCAGCGCGGCTCGGGGGTGTTCGCGGAATCCCGGTGAGTTGGCACCCGCTCCTGGCACCGTTGTGGTCGCGCCGGACCCATCGCCACCTGACTATCGCCTCCGATCGACATCAGCTACCGAGCTGCGTGACAGCAGGACCTTCAGTGGAACGGGATCTGATGATCCTCCCTCTGTTCATATGGACTATGCCTATGCCACTACTGCCACCATCACAACTCCATCCCGACTTCAACATGTTTTTGATGTCCCTGCCTTGGCCCTTTTAAACGTTGTCTTATCACTTCTTTATTTATCTAGTTTCTCAGTTCCAAGCGAGATGTCAGCTCCACTCCTGATCTTCATCCCATCTTGCGCCGTGCGTCGTGCGATGGCGCATGTTTATCTATCCTGCGCTAAACGTGAACAATGGCTAATTAAAACAACTCTTGCGTTGAGAGCTTTATAATCAGTCAGACCAATGAAGGGTTCGTCATGGGTTCATTTCGTCGTATCGTATTGTCGACCCAGTTCTGAAATCAATACTGCACCGCCTGGTAAGTAGATATAACGGAATCTTTTCAAGCGGTCACCAATGAGGCTGCCAAAACTAACTCGGAGACAGTTCACTGCCGCCAAAGCTGGAGATGACTGCCGCCTGGCCGGAGCTGTGTGCCGCCGTCACCCCGACCCGTGACTGGTGCTGGCGCGGTGTGATCAGCGCCTGCCACCGGCCTCTGTGACGTCACATGGCACA